TTCGTATTTAGCAGGGAAGCCCTCGAGAAAGAGATGAGGACAGGAGATGGATGTGATGTGTTTTTCATAGTGCAAAATGTTACTCTGTTTACCACGTGTGGGATATAGGCACCTTTTTTGTGCGTGGCTTGGTCGAAACGCGATAACAAAATAGAACCCCGAGAATGATGTGGAATAGGAACGGTGCTCCGTCTCGCAAATGGGTGCATACGCAATGTTAAAACAACTTAAGGCAAGCAAGTAGTGTCCCCCCCCCGCTGCTTTCTGGTCCATGCTTACGTGCTGATCGCACTCCTACCTTTTTCCCGTCGTACACCCACCCCCAGTCGGTACTGGACGATGTGAACGACTTTCGGAAGGTGGCGTTAGAGATCAGCAAGTCCGCTGCGAGGGAGGGGAAGCTGGGTGAGAAGAAGTCGGAGATCATGCAGACCATGGACGCGGGCTACAGTCGCATGGAGGATCACTTCTTGACGAACGGAAGCGTCCTCGAAGATCTGACGGAGATACAGAAGTCTCTCCGCAGCTTGCCCATCGTGCAGCTCCACCTGCCCACGGTGGTTTTGGTGAGAGAAGAAAAGAGAGAATGAAAAGAGAGGAACAAGTAAATGCGTTTGTAGAAGTCTTATGAGACATTCCCTTGCACCCGATTGACCTCTGTGTACACATCCGAACCTACACAACACACGTGGGTGGATACAAGTAGTTCGTCCGCATGTGGGTAACTAAAAAAATCTTGGGCACGACCGCCTGCCGTGGTTCCCCATCCTGTGAACCCTGCGAGTTACTTTCCTTTTTCCGCTCGTGTCTTGCGTATCGCAAGGCGCGGAGAGATGACACCCCCTCAGAACGACTTTCAAAGCTCGATCGCTCCACAACCAAGATTGTCTGTACCGTACCGTATACCGTATCGTGGTATTCCGTAAGAGGCGGAGAGATGGCATCCCCCTAGACCGACTTTGAAAGCTCGATCGCTCCACAACCAAGATTGTCTGTACCGTACCGTATACCGTATCGTGGTATTCCGTAAGAGGCGGAGAGATGGCATCCCCCTAGACCGACTTTGAAAGCTCGATCGCTCCACAACCAAGATTGTCTGTACCGTACCGTATACCGTATCGTGGCATTCCGTAAGAGGCGGAGAGATGGCATCCCCCCTAGACCGACTTTGAAAGCTCGATTGCTCCACAACCAAGTGGGTGCCGAAAGACCCCGATACGTCTGTACGGAAAGCCCTCGACAACATGTTTCCAAACACCACTATTGATGGTGTTGGCGCAACCATGGAGCAATCGAGTATTGAAAACCGGTCTGGGGGGGAGGTGCCATCTCTCCTCTCCGCCTCTTGCGGTATATCGCCTTTTCCCTCGTCGGCGCTGAGAATTACCCCCGCGTGCCGACGGCAATGTGCTTGTACGCGTCGACGTCCTCTCGGCCAGGTTGGGGCACCAAACGTCGGCAAGAGCTCGATCGTGCGAGCCGTTTCGACTGGCACCCCCGAGGTTAACAGCTACCCCTTCACCACCAGGGGGATGGCTCTGGGCCACATGTTTCACCCGGAGACAAACGCGCGGTATCAGGTGACAATGCGCGGGTCGTAATTAGTTGGGTTGGGGGGAAAGGGGGGCCTTGTCAAAGGTAATAGCTTGGTTGATCGGCTACGTTGCTGTCGTGAACGATAAGAAAGGAGGAAGGGAGGGAGGCGTTGTCTGTTTTTTTTTTTTATGCGTCCGGTGGCTGGCTGTGCAATGCGTTGTCCTGTACAAGTCGGGACACGGGCCGAACTCTTCCTTGTCGTATACATTGTTCTCCTGGAGGTAGATATCTGACGCTCCGGGCATTTGGCCCACAAACGATTCACAACGGAGGATAATGACGGATTCTAGTTGGCATGAGCTTTCCGCACGCGTTCGAAGGAGAGGCCCTCGTGTGTGGCAGCCAGGCTAGCCAGCCCATCGGTAGCGATCGGAATACAGACCAACGACGTTGCTAGATGGAAGCTGAGGCTTGCTCTCCAAGCGTTAAACCGCCCTCGTCGGGTTGTTGCGAGATAGCGTGTAGAGGTTCGCCACTTACAGGCACGGCAAACCAAATGCGCGTACAGAATCGGTTCGCTCTCAGTCGCACCAAGAGGTCACGAAAACAACAACAAATGACGCGTGTTGCCCCAAGAAATTTGGGTTTATATTCGACAACATCGTTCCCCACCACGCCCTGTAGCCCCCAACTGAGACACGCGTGAACGAACGTACACGCCTCCAGATCATGGACACCCCCGGGGTTCTGTCGCGCCCCGATGGAGAGCGGAACGAGATGGAAGCGCTGACGCTCGCGTCGATGCAGCACCTGCCCACGGCGGTAATCTTCGTGATGGACCTTTCCGGACACAGCGGTCATCTTTCTTCCCTTGACAACCAGGTACGGTGCCGGCTGTGGTTTTTATGACGTGAGGGTCGGGACAAGTTCGCGAAACAGATCACCATCCTTAGATCCGCTTTTTTGCTCTTCATCCAGAACACCCTCTCAGATACGCTGTTTATCTTCATCGTTACTATATATGAAGTCTACGTATTTCGTACAAGCGCTCTCGTGAGACTCTCGTACGTGAAAATAGTTTCGAGTACCGTTTCTTGTAACCGGGACAGGCGACTTCTACTGTACTCTCTTCAATCGGTATTTTTCTCGTGATGATTATCTCTCAAACTGTGTGTGTAGCCGCTGCTGACGGTTGTACGCGTGTTTTGTTCGTTGGTGTCGATCGTGGCCTGTGCCCGAGTTGTGTTCGGTCCCGCCTCTTGGGGATGGATGACGGTGCAGGAATGCGCGATGACAGCCACAGCTTTGGAGGTCTCGGCACCATGTCTCGAGAACGAGAGTACTCTGCCGTGTTAGGGCTTGAGCAGGCAGTCGAGGAGTTTGATGTGCGTGCATACCGGTCCAACACCCTTCGGAAAGCATGCGGCGTGGTTGTGAATCGTTCCTGGCCGGATTAGTAAGCCTCATGTGGGGTTGAGGTTCTGTTGGTTGCAGTTTGTGATTGGAAACTGTTGCGTGTATTGTATTGTTCATCGCAGCGCCCACCGGCGGGCAACTTGCTGAAGCGAACCATCGCCCTGCCTATTCATCTCTTCTTATTAGTGTGTGCTTCTCCGTGCTTCCCTTCCCTTCCTCCCTCCCTACGTCATTAATGTGGCATAGATGCAAGTTCGACACGAGCTTAGAAGACGGTTTCCTCGCCGACCGTGGTTAGACGTCGTCAGCAAGGCGGACCTCCCCCGCCTGGAGTTGGAAAAGGCGAAGGAGGCCTTGCCGGAGGGGTACCTCGATCTCTCCACGCTTGACGGAACGGGCGTGGAGGAGCTAAAAACAAGGTACGTGCTTTTAAAGCAGTGTTCGTCAAAGCCAGGTGCTTAGGTTTATTCCGGGGTCGTAGTTTTCAATGTTCTTGGGAACGTTGCAGCAGAGGTGGCGGCGGGTTACATATGCCACAGTACTAGGGCACCCACACTGGCCTCGCTGTTTTACACATTCGAATGGTGTAGCTTGCATCGGGCGCCCAACCTTTGGGTATACCGATGCGCTGAGAGAAAAAACATTCGATATGCGGTGCCCCCTCACGTAGACCAAGGTCCACCTCTAAGAAAAAGATTAGGTTTTTGTTAACACGTTCTCGGGTGTTCTTGATTGTTTTTCGCCGTCGTTTCGCTTTTGGTGTTGTCGCCTCTGTTTTGCAGACTCTTCGAAATGTACGAGATCATCGAACGGATCCTTGCACCTCCTCCGGAAGTGCAAAGGTGACTCACGAAAGCAAGAAGCACGAAGGAGAAGAGGGACTGATCAAATGCTAGCAGCGGGGGGACAGCGAGAGGACTCTGCGCTCACTCCCATCACACCCACCCCTGGGCTTCGTGGTTTTCGATTTCCATCGGCCAGAAATCCTCTCGAGATGCTGAGACGGAACATGTTGCGGGTTCTCCTGCCATGCATGCGCTTGTTGCCCGGAGCACTCTGGGATGTTTGGCGCACCGAATGAAGAGTAGCAGAGGGGGGCATGCCTGTGGCGGGGAGGGAAGGGGGAGTGGGTGTGGTCTGGAGTCGCAGTTGCTCCATGTCCCGGCACCGATGCCATCGTTCTTATTGATAGACGGCCACACTAGATGAATCGGCAACGATAGCGGCAAGCGTGAAGTCGCCCGGTACTTTTTGGTCGGGACGAGGTCCAGGCGACTCTCTGCAATTTTCCCTTTCGATGTTGACGCTGCTTCTCGCCACCCCCTTTCACCCCCTCCCCCCCCCCGGTGTTTGCCATCGGGGTTGGGTTTTCGTCGCTTGGCAACGACGTTGTAAAACAAGCCAATTCACTTCGTGAACTCGGCAACCAGGTTACCCTTTTTTTTTTTTACCTCCGTTTGTTTTTTGGGCGGTAACCACAATGGTGGTCTAGTAGATCATGTTGTGCGGGGTGGAGAACCCTCACTCCGCGCAAGGGGGATGATCGCACCACGTTGTGTTAAAATGGTCAAGCACCCTCGAGGCAGTTACACAGTGCTTACAACTGTCTCTGGAAGTGAAAGCACCAGAAAATAAATTAAGTCATACGCAGCTGTCATCCGTACGCAAGGAAGTAAGCACAAGATGCCGAAAACCCTTAGCAGGATGCAGCGCACCCTTCATGCGACTCGCCGAATATCTCACGGCGCTTCGCGCTTGGTGATGTGAGAGCCTGGTCCGGTGAGAACCCTGCGTGCTCCGTCCCGGCTTTGTAGGGGTGCGAGGTCAATGGTCTAACGACTACGGCATGCACGACTATGAGTACCCCCTCCCCCCACCCCCGTTCACCCACGGTCACGGAAGTTCGAAAAGCAAGCCAACCTGTACGACAATGCCGAAATCAAATGTCAAAACCAACGACGTTTGACAGGTTGCCCACGAAGCTCTTCTTTCTCAGAGAGAGGCCTTTGCGCGGACTTTTCTACAGAGCGAGACACACCGTGTTCGCCACGAGCCCCGCCCGCGCGTCGCCGCACACGAAAGATAAGAGAGATGCCCGGTCGAAACTACTGTTGTGGCAGAACATCGGCGGGGCTGACCCTTGCGAACAAGCTTGTCGAGGACGCACACTTCCAACACACGCAGATCAATCCGGCGCGGGAATGATTGTGTTTCCATGTCCAAAACACATCGATCGGTGTATTGCTGGTAGCTTCCCTTCTCGAATCAATATTGCGAAGTTTTGTGTGCGTTTGTTCTCTCCCTCAGAGGTCGGGGGACCAAAAGCGGCCACAGCTATTTGTAGAACAACGGGATCTGGTCGCCAATCCACTACGACTACCGTAAGTACCAGGTATGGCGTTTAGTGGGGGGGAGACACTGTTCCCTGCAACATGCAATCAACGGGGCACCCATTGCTCTCTTCACGTTATACTCGTCAGCAGAGATACGAGAAAACTTGCCCATCGACCTCGGTACCAATCGAGAGGCTCTATCATCAGGTCTGTATGCCAGGTGTTCCTGCCTTCGGACCCTGATCTTTCTGCCTCCAATTCACTCTCTTGTGATGTCTTGAGATACTCCTCACTATACCTCAACTAGCAAAACCCTTCTCCATCTGTCACAATCTGTAACTGCTGTCGCCGACCAAATATGTTCGTGGCACTTACAATAAGCCAGATGTTTCCTCACACCGTTCGGGCCCACAGCAAAGAGGTTGGGGTATAAGCAGCGACTTTGACAAGGAAGCAGACACTAAGATCCCCTTGTCCTGCTGATCGTCACGCCACGAGCTTCAACATTCGTGTCGTGTCAGGGAATTACCCCCTACTTTCACAGTAACATGAAACAAACAAAGCGAAAATGAACTTTTCTGCTCCTCACTTTGCGTCAGGTATTGGACCCCGTTATTTATCAGGCTCTCCTGTTGCGACAGCGCGCACAATATGCCCTCACAAAATCAAAAACGAACACAAACACTTGACAACACACAAAACCCCACGAAAAAAAAATAATAATGATTGTCTAGGCCAGGCGTACAACAGGGCTATGGTGTCGTCCCGGAATTTACACTGTACTCACGCACACGTATCGGGGACCCCAAAGCGGTTGACTAGGCTGGCTGTGTTGCACCGCGAGCTCCTATCCCGGAAGGGGTTTCCAACGCACGGGCGAGTGCTGCTGCTTGCCTGCGTTCTTACGCAATACGCAGGGACGGCAGAACAAATGTGTTCCAACTTCGCACAAGCAATTCAGCACTAAATCACTCACCCCGTCAAGTCAAAATCATCAACAGCGCAACAGCACACGTCAAGACGTATCCACAGGCACTTAACCACACGTCGTGTATGGATACACCTTGGTAAGCTACAAAAAAAAATGCCTGTTTCGATAAATATAGACTCCTTTACAAACTTTCACACATAGACACGAGCATACATAAATAGTACACAACAATATCACACGATTAAACTCAAACTTCGGAAGGTGCGCACACCAAATTTCATGCCGACAAATGTAGTTAAGCAGAGACAACAAAGGATGAGGGCACAACCGAACGGCAAAAATGCAACAACTACAGCTGCTCCAACAGAATTCCGGGCCGTTCTCCTTCAGCCTATGCCCGCAATCGGTCTCACCCCCATCGCGTGTTGCACGCCAACACCGGTGGACACCGATCCCCAACCCCCTCCCACCGCCATCGCCCCTACGGAAACAGAACACGCTCGACGAAGCTTGCCAGAGCATCCCCGTTCTCCATCAAGTCTTTCGGCCATCCGTCCAAGAGCGCCCCGTCCGCACCAGTCCTCCCTACCAGGGCCTCGCCCGGCTCCGTCACTATCGGACAAAGCACTCGTTCGGACGGTTGCGGGTAAATCGTGCTTTCGCACCCTGTCCCGGGTCGTCCTCCTCCTCCTCCTTCGAAGCCGTCTTTGTTTCTCAGACAACGGGCCTGCGCCGCCCGCCAGTGACCGGCGGGCATCAGCCACGTGCCGCCGCCTGCTTTCCCCCGTGCGTCGCCGGGTACGCAAACGCCTCCCCTCGACCCCGCTGCCGCCGCCGGCTGGCGGTCGGAGACTGACCGCTTCGGTGCCGCCGCCCCCCCGTAGCTCGTCTCCAGCACCGCCACTTTCAGCCACGAGTAGAAGAGGGGGCTCACGACCCGGTCCGCCTCGAGGACCACCACGAAACTGTCCTCCTCCTTGTCGCCACGAGGCATCCACGATCGCAGAGCGAGGGTCGCCGGAGATGCTGAACCGCCGACGAGGTCGGCTGGCTTGGAAGGGAAAAGGGATCCGCCGCGCACGGTCTTGCGGCCACGTGGCCAGGGGAAGGACTCGTCCCCGACGCTATCCGGGACGGGTCCCGACGCGACCGCTATCGTCATCCCCACGCTATCGCCCAGGTAGTGAGCCTCCGAGATGCTGTTCAGAAGCGCCTCCAGCTGCGCTTCGGTGTGGCCGCCGCCGCCGCCGCCGCCGCCGCCGCCGCCGCCGCCATTGCCGCCGTTAGTCGGCGGCGGCTCGTACACCACGACGATGTCCACCTGCGGCCTGTGCCACGCCCGGAACGCCTTGGGCGTCAGTCTCGACAGCCACAGCGCGGCCGCGCTCGCGCTTGCCCGTCTCGGCAGCCGGACCACCGGCACCCCGGCCTGCCCGGCCACCACCGCCACCGCCTCGTCGATCGCCGCCCCGCCCCCGCCCACCCCGCCGGGGGTGCCCGCGGAAGGCCCCGTCCCGGCAACGCTGACGATCGCCAGCGGCTTGACCGTGCTCACGGCCCCCGCCAGACCCAGCGCGAGGTCGACCATGAGCACGTGGTCCCGGCCGCCGCTGCCACCGCTCCTGCTCGTGCCCTGCCGGGGGAAGTGCCTCCCGGCCACCAGGTTCCACGCCGAGGCGAACGTGTCCGGGTCGCAAAGCGTGGCGCCGCCGCCGCTAGCGCGCCCGTCCTTCGAGTTCCCCAGGTCCCTGGCCGCCAGCGAGCAGCTCGCTGAGCCCCCTCCTCGCCCCGTGAGGACCACCCGGGGAGGGCGCTGCGGAACCCCCACCCCCGATGACGCAGACGCTTCTTCTTCTTCTTCGAGGTTGTTGGAAGTTGCGCCGCCGCCGGCGACGGCGGTAGCGGCGGCCGCGCCGCCGCTCGTGGGCGGGTACGAGTCCTGGAGCACGAGGAAGAGCGCGCGGAGGGCCTGCGCGTCGAAGGCGCCGTCGACCACGAGCAGCAGCGGCCTCGGGCGAGAGGCGTAGCGCAGGGACATGAAGTACTCGCCGCCCCGCTTGAACAGGCGGTGCCAGATGCGGTCGCGCATGGGCACCGTGCTGCGGAGCGTGGTCGCCTCGCCCCCCTGCAGAGCAGAGCAAAGCAAAGTGCAGGAGGTTTCAAGCGGGCGGGTGCAAAGGGGGTTACGCGTGTAGCGGGTTGATTTCGGTCTGTACGGGGGACCCTACAAGCCTTAACGAGGGGAGGGGGAGTCGATAGACTGAACTCACTCTCTCAGACGGTCCAACCAAAGCAACAGACTGAATTCACTCACTCAAACGGTCCAACCAATATCCGCATGCCGTTGCGGGGGACCGCACCGCACCCGAATATTCCATTCCTTCGCAGCCCCCCTTCCACTGTTCCTTAACCCCTGCCCTAACGCTTATCCACCCTGACCTCGGCCATCTCTCACACCTGGTGTTGCATCTTCCAGTTCACGTCTACGTTGCCCCAAGTCTCGCTGTCGCCAAGGTCCATGGGTAAAACAAACGACCGCACCCCGGCGTGCTTGCGCAGCGAGTAGGCAAGCATGTAGTCCTGCTCGGAAAAAAAAAAAGAGGGGGATTACGGCGGCAAGAGGTACGGGCGCATCGGTGCCCTATTGTCATCACAACTTGGACACGATATTATGAAGGGACAGCAGCCGCATGCGCTGCCAAGAAGGCGGGTACATCTCTCGGGCCACGCGGACACATGTTCACCGCCGCATGATTCCCGGACGTAGAGCCCAAACTGAGGCGAGAACTGGCCGGTGAGCATGCGACGTCAAGCACGGTGCGTACGCAACATCCAACGTAGAACGCCTCCAAAATCGAGAGACATGACAGAAAAAAAGCATCGAAGGCCAAGCGTAACTCACCTCTCCCGTTTGCGGGGTCTCCCACTTCTCTCGGAACAGCAGCTTCACCCAGCCAGTCTCCACGAACCAGTGGCTGCATAGCAAATCGACCTTTGGGGGGGAAAAGGAGAAGACAAAAAAAAAAAAAAAAGTGGGGGGGCGGCAGCA